GACATTAATTTTCCTCACGGCCATGAACATTGAGTTGGATCGAAGAGCCGATTCCCAGCAGTCAAGTTACAAGTCTGGTCGCTAAGATACAGTAGCCACGAAGTGTCAATATTCACTTACCTTTCGACTACTAAGCTAAGTTTATGCAGTAATTTGGGGGACAAATCGATCAAAATTAGATGCGAATACTTTGCGTCCCTAAAACGGGCCAGGCTGCACATGTACCAGAACAACGCGGGAGCCAGATAAGGGCACAGCAGAATGCGAAGGCCACAGATGGGAGTGTGACAGGATGCCTAGGCGCACGCTCATCCCATTTCAGCTAACTGCGGCCAATACAGCCTTCGTTTTTTGTTGACTAAGTCATGGCATCGGGCCCAGAAATGTAGAGTACGATACATGCGGCGAGATTCTACTATCAGTTTAAACTAACTAACGTTTAAACCATCGCCCCTACGCTCGCCCTGCAACCGGGCACACGGCTAACCTTGATGGGATCGACAGTCGAACTGTCGTACATTCAGCGAGTCCTTGAAGTTAGTGGTCGAATCAATCTCCTGGCTAAGTGAGTTACCACGTCTTCGATGTTTAGCGTTGATAAAATCTAATAGCTGTAGTCGACACTTAACTGCAAAAAAGCATTAATAAATGTTCGGCATACGCCTAAACCAAATACAAGCTATGGTCTGCAAGCCTTATTAATTGAGGTGTACGTAAATTGACTATTGTGTGATGTGGCACAAGTTCCCAAATGCAAAGATGATTCTTCTATAAAGGACAAATGTCAAACGGTTTACATAGCGTTCGACATTTATTTTTGAATATTTAATTAGCATACTAATGACAAACGGGTCTTTGAGCTTTAAAACAAAGAACGTGCGTATATGACCAGGTTCTAAAATATGACGGTATGAATTGTAAAGCCCATATATAAGCTTTAAAGCTAGTCTTCGAGTGATTCGTTTTTACAGCGTGCGCGCACTAATTCGAAACCCTTGTGACTTTAGTTCGGTGCTCACTGGTAACCAAATAATAGCTGTAGAACGAGGCTTAAGATTCGAATAGTCTCTAATATGAAAACGGATTCGCACCGCACGAATCGGCAGCTGAAAATTGGTGTGAAGAAGGGAGGGCGGCATTTTAAATAACCTACTCCAGCCCTATTGGCATTTCTCTGGAGCAGTTCTCTACTAATGCTCTCCCACGCCACTCTGTGTCCCTACGCAAACGCACGCACTGAACGCGTGCGCGCATGTCGTAAGGTTTATCTACCTCTCTCACCCCCTGCGCAGTCTTCGTATGGCGTCAGAGTGTGCGCAGGCGTGATCAGCAAAGAATAACGATCCATTCCCACGAGACACGCTGTTTTGGCGTTCACGGCACTTGGACAATAGGGTCAATTTCAATATATTTAAGACAAGAGGCCCAAGGCCCGGAGGAGTCTCTTCAAAGATAGTTCC